TTCTAGGCAAGGGCAGTAGCAGATGCCAGGGCTCTATGGGGGGGCGGGCATACTGTCTTGCATGGAATGGGGAACGAGTATGAGGGAGCTGGCACCAGATCACAAACACAGATGTTATGCCAAGGGAACCATTGGAGGTTTTTAAGTAGAAAAGTGACAGAATGAGATTTGCATTTTTAAAAGATCACTATGGGTAAAGATTTGGTAGCAGAGGGAGACTAGAACATATAAGACAAGTTGGTTAGTTAGTTGGAATAGTCTGAGAAGGGAAGGGGTCTGGGCTGGTGGGTGACAGTGGGGACAGGGAAGGAGTTGAGGGGAGGGTAATTGGGGTGGTAGAATAAGGAGGAGGAGAGGAAAAGAAGAGGTCACAGCAGACGTCATTCAGCAGGGAAGACATTTAGTGGTGAAAGTGGCAGCTGGTCTTCCCAAAGAGCCATCCTGGCCATGGCAACAGAACCTCGGGCTGCCAAATGCCACTTCGTCAGGACAGCCAGACTGTGTCTGGTTTTCAGAGGCTGACACACAGTAACCACACCCATAAGGGACTGCCTCAAAGTTCCAAACACCACTGTGTTAACTCCCAGTAGAGAATCAAACTTGAAAAAAACCAAAACAGATCTTTCCAGAGGGACCAGACTACATGTGCCAGTCAGCAGGCACCTCTACCCAGGCACCAAGGGCCCTGAGGCTGGAAGGGTCACCAGAAGTCGCCACAGGAGACAGGGAATGAAGGTGTGTGGGTGGGTGTGTGGGGAGACGTAAGGCCATTCATGACGACCATGAGCTAGTTTCTGGCAAGGACTATTGCCCACTGATGTATCCACGTTGCCTGAGTGAATGTTCTCTGTGGCACCTAGAAAACCCAGGTGTCCAGACCAACCATCACAGCGGCCTGGCACTGGAGGGGGGCCTGACTAAAAGACACCGCCTGATGCTTCTCTCGTTGTCACCCCCGAGCCGTGTCAGCCCCAGGGAGCTCCCGCAGGGCCCCCCTCCCTTATTTGATCTAGAGAAATTAAGAATGAACACTTGCCAAGACAGGTTTTTGTAGTATAATTTAAACATTTACATGGAACAAATTAACACATTTTATTTGTGCTATTTCACTGTGCTATTCACAGGATAATTACACGGGCCTGCCTTTCCCATGGTTCAGAAAGACCTTATCCATTTCTCCTCTGTTCTGGTAACTCCTTTCATCATCTCATGCTTCAAAATTCAGTTCCTTGTGCTGGCTGGTGTGACTCAGTTGGTTGAACATTGTCTCATGCACGGAACGATTACTGGTTTGATTCCTGGTCAGGGCACATACCTGGGTTGCTGGTTTGATCTCCAGTCATAGTGTGTGCAGTGAGCAACTGACTTCTTTGGATTCTGGACAGTATTTTTCTCTAAGGCTCCCCTGGCCCTCTCTAAGGCTCTGTCTGACCCTCACTTTAGACAGCATTGCTTCTTTGTTGTTGTTTTGTTTTTGATGTTGTGTTTTCTGTTGTTTGGGGTTTTTTTTGGTTAATCCTCGCCCGAGGATATTTTTTCCATTGATTTTTAGGGAGAGTGGAAGAGAGAGGGAAAGACAGGAAGAAACATCCATGTAAGAGAAACACATTGATTGGTTGCCTCCTGCATGAGCCCTGACCAGGGCCTGGGCCAGGGAGGAGCCTGCAAACGAGGTTATCTGCCCTTGACTGAAATCGAACCCGGGATCCTTTGGTCTGCAGCCCAACGCTCTATCCACTGAGCCAAACCAGCTAAGGCCAGCATCCCTTCTTTGTAGTGAAATTTCTCTCCACCTTCAAGCTCAGCTCAACAGCAACCACCACCTCTGGTACCTGGACACGCCACGAAAGCTCAAAGCCACTACATTTTGATCCTAACAGCACCCTTTGGGTAGATATTATTACTTCATTTTTCACAGACAAGGAAACAGAGGCCAGAAATGATTTCATAGCTGAGAAAACTGAGGCCAGAAAGGGAGTTGGCTAAAGTCTCGCGGTGAGATGGCTATAATCACAGCTTCTACTTCGGTACTATGAACCCCTTTAGTTGTGACATGAGTGCTGCTTTGACTTTCAGAGTTGGCCTGTGAGAAGTGACAATGCAAGACAGGAAGTGGCTTTCCCCTCCTGCTCTCTCCTCCCTTCCTCTTGATGTCCCTAAGCACCATCAGCAGTTTAGAAGACGTGATTGGCCACTTGTGGGGAGGAAGCACAGGCTTCGGGTGTAAGCTGTTGCCAGATTGCCATTTCAATGAGGAAGCCACGTGCAATCACGTCTCTCATAGAGGTTGTGTAGAAACTGGGGAGTGAAGAAACCACTACAGCTCCCGAGCACTTCCCAAAGCTTCTCAAGAAAACTTACTGAGCACATATCCCAGGGTAGGACAACACTGTCATTACTGCCAGTACTTTTCATTCCTGAGCCCATGGCAGACATAACCAAGGGATCCAGGACTCCTTTTTACCAGGCCAGAGAAATGGCCCATCTCAATGCAGCAATCCAGGCAACTGCAATCAATTAACTGGAGTTGGTGCATGCCATCAAACCTATTTAATATTTCATGTTATTGCATGCCAGCCCTGCTGCTAGGAGATGCAGAGGTGAATAAAATATCATCTCTGCCCTCAAATCTGGAGGTAGGATATGGACATGGGTTGGGAGGAGACAAACCTGTAAACACATATTTATAACCAGGTTAAGTACAAATGTATGGGGTTAAATGTATGAACACAGTATTGTGGAAACACATATGATGCAATAACTAATTCTGCCTAGAAGTATGACACAGAGGTGGGTCTTGAAGGATGAATAGGAATTGAATAGGCCAAGCAAGGTGGGAAGGGTATTCCTGGCAAAGGGACTAACATATACTAATATTTGGATCCAGGAAACTGGAACAGGTATGAGGAGGTAGCCTATACTCAGAGTGGGAAGGACCATTTTCCTGCATCTCTCTAAAACCATAGATACATCATCATAAGGTGTGGTGAGGATTGAATAAGATAATGTGTGTAATGACCTTATATAGTGCCTGGTAATAAAGTCAGCTCTTACTGATATCTCCAGAATACTAAGGGGCATGAAATTGATCTTCAGTTGAGTCAGAATAGGTGTGAACTAGAGGAACATCATCTGACTTAAAACATTTTTATATGCTCCATGATAAAAAGACAAGTTTATATTAGAAGAGTTGGAAATATATATATACTAGAGGTGCACTCGGGGTGGAGGGGGGGATCCCCTCAGCCCAGACTGCGCCCTCTCGCAGTCTGGGAGCCCATCCGTCGGATATCCTTAGCACTGCCACCGAGGCAGGAGAGGCTCCTGACACTGCTGCTGCACTGGCCAGCGATGAGCCTGGCTTCTGGCTGAGCGGTGCTCCCCCTGTAGGAGCACACTGACCGCCAGAGGGCAGCTCCTGCATTGAGTGTCTGCCCCCTGGTGGTCAGTGCATGTCATAGCAACCAGTCGTTCCTCTGTTCAGTCAATTTGCATATTAGCCTTTTATTATATAGGATAGTTCTAAGTTTTCAGCTGGGTACTCCTCCCTCACTGTAGCTGACCTAACTGGGCCAAACTTTTGTGTAGGTGGTGGAGAGGGGAGGGAGCCAACCCATGGTTCCTCATGTTTCATGTGGAATTTCCTATCTTTAGGAAGACCACAAGGTGGCAATGGTCCTATGAGGGCAGGCCATCATTCAGTGCACAGTAAATAGCCAACATCTACTTATTCTGAGCGTGGGACTCTTCCTGGCTCCCGGGAAGTGGAGGATTGTCAAACAGCCAGCAACAGGCCACTCACAGTTGTGGTGGCCAGAAATGGAGCCCCGCCCACCCGTCCCCAAAAATCAGGGCCCGCCTCCAGAAATCCAATCAGCTGCCACGTTGCCACCATCATTCCTGGCTCTGCTCCCCTCAGACCAGGCCCAGCCTCCTGAATTAGCACCCTTGGAGTCCCACAACTCCTTTCCTTACAGCACTTGCCACAGTTGAAATCATACATGTATTAGTAGGATTCTTTGACGTCTCTCCCTCGCCATTCTAGAAACTAAGGGCCTGTTTCCTTCACTGCTGTGTTTCCAGAGGTTCCCCAATGTGGTCCCTGACCCACACAGGGTACTCAATAAATGCACTGAATGAGTGAAGAAGGGAGGAAGGCAGAGAATGCTGTTCTCTTTTACAGGCCATAAAACAGGCCTTCCGGCCCAATTCCTAGCAAATACAGAGCCACACCCCATAGCCTCCAAGGCCCTCCCCCATCTCCTCCTCCTCCTCCTCCTCCGCCGCCGCCGCCGTCTCTCCAACGACGCCTCAGAGCCAGCTTCTGGCCCCCAAACAAGACTCATTTCCCAGGAAAAGATCCTAGGGCAGGAGTGGAGCAAGTGACAGCCTACTCGTAACAATAATAGCACCTACAATGTACCAGACACCGTTCTTCCACAGCAATGCTTGGAGGCAGGCTCCTCACCATTTTAAAGGTGAAGAAACTGGGGCACAGGGAGGTACTGGTTTGTCCAAGACAGTAGCGGAGCCTATGCAACAGAACGGAGTCAGTAAATAAAGCTCCAGGCTGCACCCTAACCCACTCGGAGTTACAGCGCAGAACATCTGCATGGGCAGCAGAAGTCCTGTGTTTCATCACTTGGGCCTCGAGGGCCCCACGTCCCCGTTCCCTCTTCTGCAGATGGGGGTCTGTAATAGTGGCTAGTCTATATGGTTATTGGGAGGTGAAAGCACACAGTTTAGTACAGTGCCCGGCACCCAGTGAACGATCAATAAATGTTAAATGCTGATGTTTTCCTTATTGTTCACCGGGGACTGGAGAGGAGAGCTGCAGGGCAGTATCCTTGTACAGTTTGCAGGTGAGGTTCATTAGTTGTCTGTCCTGGGAGCTGGGAGCCCGCCCTCGTCAGCCCAGACAGGGCGGGGCCAGCCGGGTCAGACTTTGAGCTGGGGGCGCCGGCGGCGCAGGCGCAGAAGGCTCGGCAGGAGCTGCACGCGCATGGAGCGCTCCGAGCGGCAGCGGCCCGCGAGCTCCGCGGGCGCACCCCGCAGCCACCCCGCGGCGAAGGTGCTGTTCCGCGGCCCCGTGGGGCCGATCCTCTTCCTTGCCAACTTCTCCTTGGTCCTGCAGGGCCCGCTCACCACGCAGTACCTGTGGCACCGCTTCAGTGCCGACCTCGGCTACAATGGCACCCACGATAGAGGCGGCTGCAGCAACCACAGCGCGAACCCCATCATGCAGGTAGAAGCGGGGAGGTGGCACCGAGCCGGCCCTGAGCTAGCGCGAGGGGACAGACGAGGGGGCGGGGCGGGCGGGAAGGTGGGGCCTCCCAGGCGGTCATGGATATTGGGGTGGTGGGCCTGCCCGATTACTGCAGTATGAAGGATGCGTAAAGTTCCTCTAGCCTTAAGAGTTAACAAAAGAGGGTAAAAAAAAAGAAGGGAAAAGGACCTAGGCCCGTTTTCTATAACCCTCCTTCTAGTGCCAATTTTTGAGAGCTGCACTGAAATTCTCTGGAGTTTAGGGCTCCAAAGAAAGTCCGCATCCCCGTCTCTCCCAGGATGGCGGTAGTTTCGCGGGAAGTGGGGGTGGAGGGAGCTCAGAGTGAGGAAGAACGCTCTGGTGAGACTCGTGCCCCCACAGGAAGTGGAGACCCTCACCTCTCACTGGACCCTCTACATGAACGTGGGCGGCTTCCTGGTGGGGCTCTTCTCGTCCACCTTGCTGGGTGCTTGGAGTGACTGTGTGGGCCGTCGTCCCCTGCTGGTGCTGGCCTCGCTGGGCCTGCTGCTCCAGGCGCTGGTATCCATCCTTGTGGTGCAGCTGCAGCTACACGTCGGCTACTTCGTGCTGGGCCGCATCCTTTGTGCCTTCCTCGGCGACTTCAGTGGCCTCCTGGCTGCTGGCTTTGCCTCCGTGGCAGATGTCAGCTCTCACCGCAATCGAACCATCCGAATGGCCCTGCTGGAAGCATGCATCGGGGTGGCAGGGATGGTGGCGAGCCTCATTGGGGGCCACTGGCTCCAGGCCCAGGGTTATGCCAACCCCTTCTGGCTGGCCTTGGCCTTGCTGATATTCATGACTTTCTATGCTGCTTTCTGCTTTGGCGAGACTGTGATGGAGCCAACACCTGCCCGGCTCTTCACGTTCCGTCACCACCGATCCATTGTCCAGCTCTACACGGCTCCGGCCCCGGACAAGTCCAGGAAGCACTTGGCCCTGTACTCACTGGTCATCTTTGTGGTGATCACTGTGCACTTTGGGGCCCAGGACATCCTGACCATCTATGAGCTGAGCAGACCCCTCTGCTGGGACTCCAAGCTGATTGGCTACGGTTCTGCAGCTAGACACCTCCCGTATTTCACCAGCCTGCTGGGCCTGTGGCTGATGCGATTCTGCCTGACGGACACCTGGGTGGCTGAGATTGGCTTGGCCTTTAACATCCTGGGGATGGTGGTCTTTGCGTTCGCGACCAGCACACCCCTGATGTTCACAGGTAATGTGTGTGGGCTCAGGGACAGTTTATCCCAGGGGTACTGGGTGAAGATTGGGGGACAGCCACTTGCTGGTTTATGCCTTTGGAAACATCGTTATGTTCCCAGCTTGCACTGGAAGACAGACAACTAAGAAACCTCATAAAAATGGCATCTTTTAAAAAAATATTTATTTTTATTGATTTCAGAGAGGAAGGGAGAGAGAGAAAGGGAGAGATAGAAAGAGAGAGAGAAACATCAATGATGAGAGAGAATCGTTGATCAGCTGCCTCCTACACCCCCCGCACTGGGGATCAAGCCCACAACTTGGGCATATGCCCTGACTGGGAATCGAACTGTGACCTCCTGGTTCATCGGTCGTCGCTCAACCACTGAGCCATGCCAGCTGGGCTGGCATCTTTGTTATACATAAAATATTGAACTTCATTAGCCAAAGTAATTAGTCCACATTATCAATCATAAATATTGTTAGTAAGACAGAGCAACCGACAAAAGTATGGCTCATGCACTAATTGCTTCATTCCTTGGCCTCCCATAGCCAATATTCATGATATTCTTAGACAAAGTCCATGCTATTACTGTCTTAATACTCACTTCTCTGATAATCACGGGACCTTACCTCAAATATCCTTAGTCAGCTTCTTTGGGTGTTTTTAAAAGAGCCAGCCTTTCATACCACAGTTATCAAGTTCTTGCTTGCGTTAGTTCTTATGTTGGTGGGAGAGGGGCAGCTGGGAATGAGGAAGTTAACTTTCTTAAAGGGACAGATTTATTTTGATAAAGCTCTAAAGTTTAGAGTCTAAACTATGTAGTGTACAAAGTGAGCCATTCAGTAATCACAGATGTATTAACTTGGCTGCTTGCCTGGACAGTGAGGCTGAAGGGGACCAGGTACCTTTCTCTCCTGCCCACAGCATCTCCCATCGATTCGGTGCTGGGCTCAGAGATGATGAAGACGCTGTCATTGCTCTGGGGAGCCTGACACCCGAAGGGGCCCTGTGGTGCCTCATCATATGCCCACTTTGAAGGATCTACTGTCCAATCGGGCAGCCATTTTCAACCCTTTTCATCTCATGGCACACATAAACTAATTACTAAAATTCTGCGGCACACCAAAAAATGTATTCTATTTTTTGCCGATCTGGCAAAAAAAAAATAGGTATAATTTTGACTCATTCCTACTGGATGGCTGTTGTCATTTTTTTATTTGACAGTCTAAGGGAAAATAGGTCATGCCCCTGACTACATAGTCAGGTATTGCATGTTTTAGAAATTCTTGTGGCATCATACCAGTGTGCCGTGGCACACTGGTTGAAAATTGCTGCTCTAGGGGCTTGCAGTTTTACTGAGGAGGCAATAGTCACACAAGGGAAAGAAATGGTTGTAAAGGAAACAACGTATGCCTGTGAGTAACAAAACGCAAAGTGAAAAGGGACTTCCACTCACTATGTGCTTCCTACGCCATGCTCTTCATGGATGTTTTCTGATGTATCCATTTTCTAGGGCTGCTGTAACGAATTACCACAAATTTGGAGGCTTAAAACACAGAAATCTATTCTCTCACAGTTCTGGAGGCAAGAATCCATATCACTGGACCAAAATCAGAGTGTCAGGAGAGCCACATTCCTTTCATAGGTTCTAGGAGGGAATCCGTCCCTCATCCCTTCTGACTGCTGGGGGCTGCCAGCATTCCTTGGCTCCTGGCTGCATCACTGTGATCTCTGCCTCTGTGATTACATTGCCTCTTTTGTGTGCCTTTTCCGTTCTGTCCATGTCAGATTATTTAGGGCCCAACTTATCAGGTTGTCATCATCCAGGATCATCTCCTCATCTCAAGATTGTTAACTTTATCTCGTTTTCTAAATAAGGCAACGTTTATAGATTCCAGGGATTAGGACCTCATATCTGGGGCCATTTTTCAGCCTCCTAACACTCCAGAATCATCCTGTGGGGAAGGCCTTGTTATCCTTTTACAGATGGGAGTCAGGCCCAAGCCCACACAGTGATGGCATCAGGTTTTGAACTCAGGACTGCCTCCAAAGTCCGGGCTTGTTTTATGTGCTCTGCCATCTCCCTACTATGTGGGTGTTACCCGATGGGACCACAAGAGGTGTTCTGACAAAAACGCCGTTGGGTGGGAATCAGCGTTTATTCATAAAAGAGGTAGCAGGTAGGCCAAAGCTTGAGAAGGGGAGTCTCCATTCCTCCTTAGTTATTGTGTCCTTCTCTATCAAGGAAGTTCTTCCTGTGTCTAACCTGAGTCCCATCTGGGGGGGGTCTAGGAGCTCTGCTTACGTCTTGCTTGGGCACCCCCCTCCCTAACCCCATCTTCCTGGTGTTTGTTTCTCCACAGGGTACGGGCTCCTCTTCCTGTCTTTAGTCATTACACCCATTGTCCGGGCCAAGCTCTCCAAGCTGGTGAGCACGTCAGAGCAGGGTAAGTGTCATGGTCAACCAGCATCCGGTTCCTTGTGCCCAATGTTCTCGGAACAAATTGCCCTCTCCAGACCTCAGCTTTTCCATCTGTAAAATGGATGCGGTGATGCCAGCGTGCCCTGCTTCACTGGGGTCAGAGCGTACAAGCTCAAAGGGCGTGAGCAACTTTGTGGTGTAGGTTTCATTGTCCCTAAGATGAGGAAGCCGAGGCCCAGAGGATTAAATTGACTTACTCAGGGTCACTCAGTAAGTGGTGGCGCCAGGTCTGTTTTTAAGAGCAGCAGGTCTTGGATCTGGGTTTTAGTCCTGGCTCTGTTACCCACTGGCTGTGTGATCTTAGGCAGGTCCCTTTTCCCTCTCTGGGACTGTTTCCTCATTTATATAAGAGTGTTGTTTTTTTTAAATGTTTATATTGATTTTAGAGAGGAAGGGAGAGAAACAATGATGAGAGAATCTGATCAGGCTGCTGGGGACCAAGCCTGCAACCTGGGCATGTGCCCTGACCGGTGCACGGGATGATGCTCAGCCAACTGAGCACACTGGCCAGGGCAAGAGTGGTTTGTTCTTGATGACATCTACGGGCCCTTCCAGCTCTGATGGTCTGACAGTTTAATCTCAACTTCCATTGGATTATTGCTCATTTCACAAAATTTGGGTTTTGTTGGCATAACTATAAAGAAGAGCTTTTCTCTGGCCTCTGGGTCTTCAGACCCCAATCTAGAAACATCTGTCTCATCCACTTCTCCCCATCTGCCCTGGAAGGAGGACGTGGAGCCGACCAGGTGCTTTCCCTCATTCACTCAATAAGCTTTTTATCCAGCACCTTCACGGTGCCCAGAGTTACCAGGGGAACAAGAAAAAAGAACAGCCCTTACTAACTGGCTCCCTCCAGGGGCCAGGCCCTGTGATAGGAGCTTTACATGGGAATTCAATGTTGCCACCAATCTATGATGTAGGTAGAATCCTTATGTAACAAAAAGGGTGCAAGAACCCAGAAGGTTAAGCACTTGTTCAGTGGCCACACAGCTAATAAGTGTTGGGACTGGGAATTAGCCCCACGAGGAACCTCAAGCAGGATATGATTCTGAAGGAGTTAAACCAACAACCATTTTCCTCGGGCTTTTGCTCGAAGATAATCACATGTACTTTGGCTGCGTGGATTTAACAACAGCCACCTGTGTGCCAGGTGCTTTCCATGAATGGCCTCACTGAAACCTTATCACAACACATGACGTAGGCTTTACAGGTGAGGAGGGTGAGACTCCGAGAGATTCAGTGACGTGCCCCAGTTTGCACAGCTGCGAGGCATTGGTGTCAGGATTTGAACCTACGTCTTCCAGACTCCACAGTGTGATATTTCTTTCTTCACAGGTGCTCTCTTTTCTGCTGTGGCCTGTGTGAATGGCCTGGCCATGCTGATGGCCTCCAGCATCTTCAACTCGCTCTACCCAGCCACCCTGAACTTCATGAAGGGGTTTCCCTTCCTCCTGGGAGCTGGCCTCCTCTTCATCCCTGCCATTCTGATTGGGTAACTTAGGACTCTGTCCCCGGCTCATGTGCTCTTTATCCCAAAGGTTCCCTCTTCCTCCTCCTGCCGACCAGAAATGGCCGCCTGGACCCCTTCCTGTGGGTGTTTCAGGCCCAGCCTGACTCTCCCCCTGCAGATGGCTGCCTAATCCTCTGGAGCCACTTCCCGAGGGCAGGACAGGGGGGCAGTAGGGGAAGGGTCAGGCAAACATTGCTTCTTGGCAAGGTTGGTCTCTCCCCTTCGTCCCCCTCCATCCGCATCTTACGGATGGAACTATGGCGACAAATCTGCCAAAGGGAAGCCGGAGAGCCTCCTTGGCTGGTTGTGGCTGGGCCACAGGCTGGCCTGCCCACTGACTTCTGCCCCATAGCCTTCCGACTCCCTTTCCAGAGCCCTCTTATCAAGATGTTGCCTTTCACCTCTGTGTTGGGAGGGGGGATACCTGTACCGGCCCACCCAACAAAGCCCATGTCGCTTCTTCAGGAGTTGAAGAGGGTTCCCCCATATGTCAAATCTGAACCCTCTCTCTGGTCTCTCGCAGGATTCTTGGAAAGACTGAGCCTCGCTCTGAATTCCAGCAGTTTCCCCAGAGCCCCTGATCTGCCTAGACGTGAGAACAGAGGGCCAAGAGGGGTGAAGTGAGCACTAACCAGCTGGAAGGATGCCCCTGGGACCCCACCCACAGCAGCAGCAGCAGCAGCTCCCCTCAAAGGCAGTGTTCACCCTGGATAAGGTGGTCAAGCTAGACCAGGGCCCCCACCTCATCCAAAGCTTGCCAGCCTATGACTCGAGGATCTGGAATTGTAACCCAGACAGTCTGACTCCAGGGCAGGCAGTGGCGGGGGGGACATTTGGAACAGGGGTCTGTTCATCCTCTATGCAATTACATAAAACCCTCCAGGGGAGAGAGGAGGTCCTGATGGAGGTGATGCCTCAGGGACCAGTTGAAGCATGAGGGCTGGCATCTCTGCTTCCAACCCAAACTGCACAGCTCACAGTTCATCGTGAGCAGCCACCAGCCATGCCTTAATGACGAATATTTCGAGGGGAGGAAGGGTTGTGGGGATGGAGAGAGAGTGCTACGGACTCAGTGGAATCAAGCCCCTGGGCTTAGCAGTGCCAACCATCATAATAAATCAGTATAAGCACACTGACATGAATCGTCTGGTACCCAAGGCATTGGGCTGTGGGCCCTTTATTTTCTGTCCCGTTTGCCCCCATGGGTCAGATAGCAGCTGCTGGGCTGGGCAGAAGCCCCTGAGCTGCCATGAGATTGGTCCGGGGCGTGACCAGCCCAGACTTCATCTGACCGCCCATTCTCTTCTCCTGAGCTGCTGGGAGATGAAGGGCTGCCAGGCTTGTATCAAGCCAAGCAGGGAGGCTTGGAGCAGAGCCCTGGCCGCTCATTCTGAGGGTTAGATCCGCTCCCTGAAGGCGCCAGTACTGGTCCCCCTGGCAACAACAGCCCAAGCAGAATTAGTTTTTATCACTCAGCCCTGCAACACCTCCCATCGCCAGGTATTTCAGCCGGGCCTTGTGCTGAGACCGTGCCTCAGCCTGGATCTGAAGTTGCAAAGGCAAAATTGGATTTGATATTAAGGTACCATAAGCCCCCAAGCAGACCCAGATCAGGTGGTACTTGACTCTTCAAACCAGACTTGGCCACAGGGTTTAGCCCTCTAATGTCATTTCTAGCCCATTCTCTCTTACCAGCCCTGCCAGTCAGTTTTCTGGCTGGAAATCACTCAAGTAAAGTGGGTGTGGCCTAGGGCAAACCAAGGTCAATGTGTCCTTTACAGCCCAGGCCTGTTTCTAGATTCCCACCTCACTGTTCCCTCTGTCACTGGAAGACTGGAGCAAGAAGAGGACAATCCATTGATTGTCCCAGCATGAGGCAGGAGGGGGACGGGGGGAGGAAGGCGCTGGGCTGGGCTCAGACCTGGGCTCTACTCCAGCCACTGCCTGGTCCACAGGTGACCTTGAGCAAGCCCATCTACGAAAGGCTGGATCTGATCATGGTTGGACAGGTTAGGAAACACTGGGTTAGAGGTAATATTCTGAGATCCTTTCCGCCTCATATGTTCTAGAATGAGATGCCTCTCTTTGTGGACCTGGGGGAAGAATAAATGAGTTGGAGCTGGACTTTTGATCTTTGAGTGTCCCTGAGCAGTTCTTGGTCCCTGGGGAGGCGTGGGGTAGAGACCTAGTTGACTCAGCTCCAACATGGGAACAGCAGCTACAATCCAGCCAAGCAGAAAACCCTGGCCCTGCAGACCTGCGTCAGAGCAGGCTTTGGGGGAAAGGCTAATTCTCAGCTCTCTGCTTCAGGGCCAGCCCTGTGAGGCCAGGCCTAGGTGGAAGGTGGGGGCCAAGGTGCCCGCCCTGTCACGGCAGGGAGGCAGTCCCGAGAACACTCAGGCTTGGCTGCGGGGAGGGTCATCACTTCAGCTGCTGGGGGGTTTGGGGGGTGGGGAGGCTGAGCTCTGATTCCCCAGAGAGACAGGAGGGGCAGCACTGGAGGGTGTGCCAAACAGAAAAAACAGGGCTGCAAACCTCTCTGAGCACTGTCCATGGGGGACCTCAGGAGGGAGTGGGATTGGGGACAAAAAGACAGAAAGCTCCTGGAGGGTATTCGCCACACTGTATTGTTACTGCCTCTGCTCTGTGAGGGCAATGTCTAGTCTGCCTTAGTCACCATCAGAGCCAGGGCCCGGCAGCGGTGGGCCCCCTGTTGGCATGAACAAGAAAGTGCAGTCAAAGCCAGAGTTGGGGCTAGGGCCAGCTAAAAAGTGTCTTTGGCAGGGAGGGGAGTGGAAGAAGTACCGAGGGGGGAGTGAGACCTTTGACTTCCTGACCATGTGGCTCAAGAGCTAAGAGTGACCTGGCCAGCACCTGCAGGAGGCACTCTGGGAGCTGAGCCAGCCTTGAGGTGCGAACACGCTACTCAAGAGGGAAGAGGCAGGCCTGGTTAGCTGGAGCCTTCCTACCCTCCTGGAGGAAGGGGCAGAGGGGTGTTCCTGCTCATTTATGTGCGTAGAGCCCCTGGGTCAAAAACCTATCCCCACTTCTAGATTCTTTGGGGCGAGGAAGAAGCCCGCTGTCTGTGGAGCGGCAGCCCAGCCGGGTCTCAGCCTCCAGAATGATTCTCAGAAGGGCAGTGCCACCAGCAGTGGGCTGAGCACCAGGAGGCCAGGTCTGCATCCTGGGCTGCCACTCATGGCTTAGAAAATGGCACATGATTTGACTCCTCGGTAAAACGGAGATCACACCGGATAACGTAAAATGGCTCTGATGATTGCGGAGACCATGGAGCGGGGTGCCGGGGAGCTGGTAAAGGGGTTTGTATTTCAGAGCCTGGCTACTTAAAGTGTCATTTCTTGACCACCATCATGGGCTCACCTGGGAATCAAAAATGCAGAAATCCAGGCCCCACTCCAGGTCGCCTGAATGGAATTGTAACAAAATTCCCAGGTGGTTTGAATGTACACCCTGCCCTTCCTCAGGACACTGCCTCCTCCCAAGGAACTGCAGGCTCTGCCCAGGCTACTGCTGGGAGGGGCTGGGGAGGCCAGCTGAGCCAGGGGGGCAGGAGCCTGAGGCACAGCACCAAGGCATGGGAGGGTGGCTGGCAGCCCTTTGAGACATGGCCGCCGCTGCCCAGGCCCGAGCAAGGAGTGCCATGTACCTGTGAGTGCTTCCAACCCAGCCGCAGCTGCAAAGCAGCCAGAGGAGGGGCTGGCTCAGCCCAATCCCGACCCAGGATGTGGCGAGAGAGGCTGTGCCTCAGGGAGGCTAGGAAGGGACTTGGGACCAGACCAGGTCAGCTAAGGACACTGAGTGATTCCAGGGCAAGGCCACAGGGCGGCAGGAAGTGGTGAGCCTGAGGACCAGCGCAGTGTAGGTGGAGAGCCATCAGTGGACTTTTATCCCTGCTGGTTCCCAGGCCCAGGCCGCTGGGCTGGGTGGACTGGGCATT